TTTTAAATTAGTGAATTTAATAAGAATGTCAAATAGTGATATATATTGTGTCTATGAATTTGCTGTGAGTAGTAAATGGCCAATATACATAACTTTGATATTTTTAATAAAAGTGTAAAAACTATGAAAACCATAAATACATGTAGTTCCCATTTTTAAATAAATTCAAATTAATTCATAATAAAAAGTAACGATTTTCGTCTGCCATACTTGAACTCATTCAGAAAAACAAGTCACTGAGAATACACTTGTAAAAAAAACTACACTAAAGATGTCTCCGTTATAAATTTTTATATTTAAAACTACATATTTTGCAGTACCTAAATAATGTAAATATACTAGAAACGTTTTAGATATGAGTAATTCTTAAGAAATAAAGCAAAACCTCTATTTTGTTACTCTAACCTTACGTGTTATACATTTTCTTTGACAAACTAACGTTATATTTTGAAATAGTAGTAATTAAACTTTTCACTAAAAAGTAATATTTCAGTTTCGAAATTTTTGACACTCGATCACATACATAAAAAATTATAAAAACGGTGAGTGTCAATCCCACAATATTAAATTAAAATAATTGTTTTTGTTAACTTAAAGTGGCAATCCCACCAAATTTAACTGAATAAATTATGATACTAAATTAGCACTAGGGTTTACTGTTGTAGCACTAGGGTTTACTGTTGTAGCACTAGTGTTTAGTGTTAGGGTAGTAATCCCACCAACATTAATTAAAAAAGTAATTAGTGGCAATCCAACTAATGATTACTGTAATAATGGCAATCCCACCAACATTAATTCAAAAGGTAGTTAGTGACAACCCCACTATGTTTACTGTAATGGTGGCAGTCCCACCAACATTAAATGAAAGAGTAATTAATGACAATTCCACTAATGTTTACTGTAATGCTGGCAATCCCACCACTGTTAATTGAAAAGGTAGTTAGTGGCAATCCCACTGTTTACTGCAATGGTGGCAATCCCACAGACATTAACTGAAAGAGTAGTGGCAATCCCACTAATATGTACTATAATGGCGGCAATTCCACCAACATTAATTGAAATAGTATTTAGTGGCAATCCCACTAATGTTTATGGTAATGATGGCAAACCCAGCAACGTTGATTGAAAGAATGCTAGTGGCGATCCTACTATGTTTACTCTAATGGTAGCAATCCCACCAACAGTAATTGAAAGAGTTTGGCGTCTAAAAAGAACATTTGTGATAATGTCCTTAAGTCAACACAGTAGTTGTTTTCGTGTTTTGTAATTCCAGATATATGTGGCGCGAGGACGCAATGCGGGATAGCCGTGTTAGCGGTGTGTCTCTGCTCCCTAAGACACATTTTCGAAGTCCATACACATGCGTGTCAGGATGGACGAGCGGAGAAGCAAGACCAGCACAGTAGGCATTACGCGAATAGACAGTAGCAATACTACATCAACATTGTAATTGAGAATACCTGATCGTGAATTAAACCATTGAAAAAACAGTTTGAACATTTTTATTAAGGATGATTGTAACGGTCTAATTCTCTCTTTAACACATATTTCCTTTTTTATACCTTTTTGTATCAATTTTGCACACTTTCTACCCCTACGTTTATTCCTTACTATATTTTAGTAATTGTAAATCATTTTACCTTGTCCTTATCTCTTTCTTGTTTGTCTTTTTCCTTTCACTCGGCTGGCCAGTCTGTCAAATGAATTTTCCGTGGTAAACCTTATTCAAAGGTCTGATTTGTTATCACCATGTATTGTTGAGTGTGTAATTGTGTGCCCTCACTTTTTCTTTATTCCTACCTTTCGATATCTACTGCCAGCCTGTTTGTTTTCTTATATTTTGTCACAGTATTTTCTCCTAACATAAAATATAGTTATACCCATGATTATCGATGCCTCGATATTTCTTTTTGTCTTTTAGTTTTCCCTCTTTACTTACCTGGTAAAAAAAAAGACGATTTTATCTCCGCCGAAATTCAATTTGAATGCATTTCGGTGTCTAAATTCATCTGGTTTGTCAAGTTTTGTTCTCAATTCCTGGGCACATCGTCTCATAACATTCAATTTTCGAAGGTCTTATTCTAATATTTCAATTCCGATCAGTTGCATATATCATTTCTCCTTGCTTCCCGACATTTTAATGGCATTTATATTAGTTAAGTTGTAAAATAAATGTAATATTTTGATTTTGAATTTAATTATGTCACTGTCATTTCATTAAACGATAACTGTCAGCGGTCAGTAGAAGTTGCGTTTGACAGTGCAGTTTCGATCGATTCGATCCGATTCTAGAGTACCCTGTTCGATGGAACTACTCTGTCGTGTTTATTTGTAAGTAGAGTAAGGTGGTTTAGGAATAAGTTTGTGTGCATAGTTCGTAATTATTGTGTCTTATTGATATTGTATATACAAATGGTATATTTTATGTTGGGGTTTGGGTTGATTTAAGGTGTTTATATAAGGAGCGCTCCGATACGTTCGTTTTGCGTTCATTCTGTGGTTTTGCTTGGGTTTCTATTGGACGAAGAGTCGATGATAGAGGGATCTTTGTTATCGATATTCTGGCGATTGGTCAGAAAAGATCAACTGACTGCGTTTCGGTCATCTTATTGGTTCAGAACTAATTTCTTCGATTGAGTTCTCGAAGGTGCCTAGGCATTCCAAACAAATGAATGGCCAGTGGGCAGGTTTGGTATATCTAAGGGTGGCGACATACGGTGTATTCTATCTACTTTACGTAAAATCATGAATGGATTACATTTAAATATTTTATGTCAAACACAATAAAAATAATATTTAAAAAACCTACCTATACATTTCTTCATAAATTGGCAGGCTTGGCGACTACTACTTCGAATAAAAATAGCGTCCAAGTTGCAAGACTATGTCGCTACCCCCCTTAGATATACAAGAATTTCCCACTGGCACATATTGTTTGACAGGTCGTTGGAATGCCTAATTTGAAAAAAAAAAGGGTTTTGTTGTGTCGAAGTAGCAATGTGGCGAAAATACCGAGAGGTACTTCCAATCCTTCGAAAATCAGTAAATTGTGTGGGTTTTGCGCCATCCCTCGTATAAGGGGATTTATTTGTGAATTTTCAAACAGTGAGGCATATTTTGTGGCTGGAAATTGTTGGCTGAGTCATATTGGAAAGTGTGGAACTTGTGGCAGCCATTTGTCTTACGACGCTGTGCGGATAATTGGATTGGGGGGCTATCGTGGCCCATCTTGGCATCTCTCGCCGTATACGCTCATCTGCTTGGACCTTTAGGAAATATTTCGTTTTCCCTTTTTTCGATAAAAAGGGAAGTTTTTCTTTTTTTCTCCATGAGGCCGCGCCAGTTCTCTCTTATTATTTAGCAAGTCATTTTAGAATAATGTTTTGGGCAATTTGGATGTTTTGCCTTTTTTTAAGTAATTCTGGTAGCTTGTAGGGCTGTGAAACTTAGTAAGTAAATTTTAATTTTGGGAAAAGGTTCAGATATAAGAAAAATTGTTCGTTTTATTTTGAACTAACCAGACCTATCCTGACACGGTTCTTCTTGGCTAATTTTAGGGACTACCACCCCACCACCACTACAACCAACACCTGTTTGGTAGAGCTGGTAATTTTTGGTATCCATGCAGCTGTAGTTGCAGAAAAGCGAGGGATTTCCTCCTTTACATTCTTCAGATTTAGTTATGGCAGGAGAGTTACGGGTTTCCTTTGGAATGATGTGTCTGTGTCCTGATTTAGGATGTAATTTTGCCGACGTCGCCGGATCTATCTATATGACTGGTGAACAGGTTATGTGGAATTAAATTTATTATTTATTGCACTGATTTATTTATTTTTTATCATCTATGCTCTGTTTATATCTTATATCCTACTTATATTATTTTTGGTGTATTATTCAAGGGAACTTGACTGCAGTCTGGTGGGGTATTCTTGTTGAAGCCAGTGTTTGACTATAATGCAGTCCACCGTACATTGTAGCCCGTTGAGGCGGTTACATGATACATTCCTTTTGTTAACATGAATATATCTTTAAATAAATAGTAGTTTGTGCAACAAGAGTGGATATGATGGCCATATCGCACGAGGACGAAGCTTAAACACGATGCCATATGCATAGGCGAAGGGCTCAATCGTCTGAGTACTATATGGACAATCCACTCGAGTTGTCTAGTATATTTTTTCTACGGTCCACTAACGAAAATCTACAAATTAAAAAAAATATTTTACGTTATTCAGACAAAATAATTAATTTTAAAATAATTTATGAATGCTACTAATTTATAAAATAAAGTAAACATTAGTTTAATTAGTCCCCAGCCCAGATTCGAACCCGAGCATTTCGCGTAGAAGGCTCTGTTCTCAACTCCACTGCCTCTTTTACGATTTTAGTTTTAATACTTTTAATGAAATTAGTTTCATATAGATTGAATAAAATTTGTTATTTTTTTTTCAAAATGTGGACAAAATAGAAATAAAAATTCTATTATTTATTGATTAATTAAATAAATCATTTTAATGTATATTTAATATCAATAACTAAAAACTATACTGACAATTAGTTTGACAGAATTGTCACTTATTTAAAATTTTAAAAATAATAGTGGTTGGGTGTCCAACTATGAACTATGATTGGTGGATTTCATTTTTTGCAGTGTTTTCCCTATCTAGATTGGATATGAAATATATTCGTTCAGTTGAATGCAATAGCATACTTTTTTGTTTTGTAGTCCGTGCGTTGATAAGCATTAGCTTATCTACTTTCTACACCCACATATTAATGTGGGTGTAGAAAGTTGTGGGTGTAGAAAAAATATTTTCAATACAATTTGTAACGAACTGGCAACCTCGCTATATGTATATGTTCATCCAAACCGCTTTTATTACTGGCGCTTTAGATTTGAGGCTGGTTAATAATCAAGCCCAGAATAATTACTGGAAAGAGGGATACATACGTTTTAGAATTTAGTGATAAAGTTGATGTCATTAGTTGTTGATACTTACTTATATTTGGACCTAACTTCATTTTTAGAAGCCAATTCAGCAGCCTGCAACGCCATAGCAATCTCTTCATCATCAGCACAAGTACTGTTGAAACTTGACGTCTCAGAACTACCGCTACTAGAGGAATCTTCCTCTTGTAAATTCCTCGTCCTTCCACTATTTTTTTTTCGGATGGGAAACGATGATTTTGGAATCACTCTAGTGCCAATATGATTGTGAGCATTTTTGATGTTTGGAGTTTGACAGTTGCAAAGGGCTGAAGAGGAGTTACCTACGCAGCCACAATTGTTCTGTTCAAGACTTGGAGATCTAGAAGTGTACAAAATGAATTACTCTCTCATAAAGATTTGTTTTGCAGCTTTTTTTAAATATATCTATTGTTTCATTACTAATAATGTACCTGTCTAAACTAGTAGTTTCTGTGCATACTCCAGAATCATCGGGCGATTCTAGTTCTTCAGATATAATTTTTCTGATGTCATTTCTTTCCGATATTGTGTCATTTGTAGTTAAAATAGAAGATAGAGTTGCGGCTGCAACCGAAATAATTTCCAAAGAATCACGGTCTGGAGGAGAGTCCAACCTTTATTTAAAAAAACAATTTAAATATTTAATCCACAACAATCAGCAATCAAAATCAAGCGATAATCTAACACTAATTAAACTCAACTGATTCTCTTTAATGAATTAATCTTCTTAAAAAGTAACTTAACATTTTAGTTAAAAAAAAATCTATGCAGAGTTTGAAGGGCATTAAGGTGACAGTTTAAAACAACCTGGCCAGAAAACAAAACCCATTTTCACAAACTAATCAATAAATGAGCAATATCTGTGTCAATTGTAAGAAAATAATTTCATATCTATACATGTTAGAACATGAAATCCACTAATCACAATTCACGTAAAGCGTCCAGCTAACCTTTTTATTTTCCAGTCTGTATATAGAATTTTTGAAAAATACCATGCTATTTGGAAAATATCTTGAACTGCTCATTTACAAAATTTTTAGCGTTGTCTGAAACCATCACTCACTGATATCCATGAAACCTAAAGATATCGTTGAGTAGTTTGATAGTTTTTTCTGTTATTGGAGCACCCGGAAAAAAATTTTCAGTCCATCGAGATTTGGCATCGACAACAATTAGAAAATGTAAACACTGAAATGGCCCTGCATAATTGATAAGAATTCGATCACAATTTTATTTTTGAACCTCAGCACATGCTTGTCAGGACAACCACATTTTCAATGTTTTTCCAGTAACAATATATTCTTGCCATCCGTTTCATTTTTTTGTTGCCAATGTGAGTACTGTGAAATTCTGAAAGAACCGATGTTGGATTGACAACTTTGTGCCCTTTAAACAGAATGTCGTTATCTAAGATGAAGTTTTTTTCTACTTGATACTCTGATATAAAATTAGATTTGATTTTGGATAAGACTGATGGCCGGTTTCTGAAACAGTAGATATATGTACAATAGACTTATCAAACAGATAACTAGAGAAATTTCGTTTCTGAAACATTCAACAAAAGTTGTCCATTCTATAAGTTATCGAATTAGGCATTCCAACGACCTGTCCAAATGGCTACCAGTGGGTAATGACAGTTTGGATATGGCAACCCTGTTGTCATGTTGTCATTAACAGGGTCAATGATACATATATAGTTATATAGATTGCTCAAAGCTGGTCGTTTACGAGCGGCCATATTGCCTGGCAAATATTTATTAATTTGAATCGGTTTAGCAAAAATGTGTTTTAAAACCAATTTTGAGCCTTTAGATATTTAAAAAAAATAATTGCTTACATTTTTACTTCAAGGCATACGCTTATGTTTATTTTGAAAAATATGGATAATCAATCTATGGAACTGTCTATTTCATTGACCTTGTCAAATCACCAGGTCTACAGGGTTGCCATAATTTTGCAATATCATAACCCGTCAAAGCCCACTGGTAGGCATTCAGTTTGGAATGCCCAATAGATATCTTGCCATTTTGGTGAGATAGGTATTCGATAAGTATCTGACATATGCCTTCATAATTTGACACTTCAAATAAATATATTTATTATTGCTTCTCGAATATAAGAAAAATAAATTAAAAGCAAAATAATGGATTATTCAAGCTCTTCCGATTCTTCTGATGAAGAAATATTAGAAATTATTCAAATGATAGACGTTGTTCGCCATTTTCGTGTTTGGTTTGAAATTATCCATTTGAAGAATGTAGTGACAACGAATTTAGGGACCGTTTTAGATTTACCAAACATACTGTTAACTACTTGGTTGAATTAATTAACGACCATAATCATCCTACGACTCAGCGAACTCATTCTTTATTTACTGGAGAACAATTGCTGATATCTTTAAGGTTTTATGCAACAGAAAAGTAAATTAAAATGCTTTTTATTACAAAACATAACTAATACAATTTTATTCAAATTGTAGGCTCGTTTCAAATTCTTATAGATGATTTTAAAGTACACAAATCTATTGTTTGTAAAGTACTACGATAAGTTACTAATGCAATACAGAAACCCTTGATTTCTTTAGGATTGCGTACTAATTTAGAATCATTGAAATTACCTATAATAATAGCGACGGCAGTTCTTCATAATATAGCGATAACAAGAAATAAAGTCGAAGATTTTGATGGCGAAGTTGATATTATAAATGCCAATGTAAATGTTTTTGTGACAGAAAACGTAATTACTTAATTCTGTTACAGCACACTAAAATATATTTAAAAATAAAAAATGTATTATTTTTTGTAGAACGCATTTTCTTTTTCATGTTAAGTTCCTGTTCTTTCATTTCAACTTCCATTTCTTGAAGCCGTCTGGCATGTAATAGTTCTTCAGTGTTTTGCTTAAGTTCCACATTTTTTATTTCCATTTCTTTTTCTTTTAATTTTAATTCAGCCTTTTTAATTAGTAATTCCACAGTTGTTGCCTTTAGTTGATTTTCTTTTGCCGATTTTTCGATATCAAAAAGTTCTTCTTTTTTTTTGTAAATCTGTTTAATTTATCTTTAAATTTTTTTTTTTTCAACTATTCTTGTTGGTAAATGCTCAACACTTTGTTTTCGTGTTTTCTTTGGTACATTATCTATTTCATTATATTTGCTGTATGGTCTTTTGGATTGATTCGTTTGCGACAATACTGTATTTGCCAACTGAGGAATTTGGATTGTGAGACTTTGCATATCTTTAGACTGAACTATTTCGATACCATGACTTGCTCCACCTGATATTTCTAATAATTCCACAATTAATATTTATTATTCCATAACCTTACCTTGAAAATATTCAGCTGATGTCAAAATTATTATGCAAAGGTTGGTATTATGATTTCAAAACTGGACAGACTTTCTTATCTAGCTCATCACTCTGTAGAATAAAAGTTCCACCGCCGGTTTTACATAAATTCTTCTATAACAAAATAAGTATGTGCAAATATCAATATAATAAAAAAACTACTTCTAACCTTGTCACCGTGAAGATTTTTCCTTGCTTTTTTCTTTATTGTGTCATACAGAGCATGTAGTTGTTTAGCATTACAGGAGCCCGTCTGCTAATTACTGTTATAGTTGTTAGTTATTTCCAGCCATGCCTCATTTTTCCCGTTTACACTTGTACCATCGGTTTTTTTTATTTTCAATCACATCCCTGTGTTCAATAACCAAATTAAATTTTTGTCGATATTCGTAAAGTTTCTGGAACGTTTAGAACTTTTTCCTTCCATTTTCCAATTATATTTTTTATGAAGAAACAGCCCTTTTTCAAATTTATCTGCTGATATCTCAGATAAATAAATAATAGATACAGCCCTATCATCCAATATTTGTAACCAGCATCTGCTCTCACTATATAGCAGTGGTTATAGAGAAAGTAAAAGTTGAAAAGTCTTTTGGTAGGTAGAGAGGGGGTAAACGTCAAACCACGTCGGGCGGCTCCGAGAATTTCGCAGTAATGTTTACCTGCCAGTGTCGTTTCATAGAATAAGTAATTTTAAATTGTTATCGGCGGAACCGGACAATCGCATGTATTTATGGATTATAAATAATTATTAAACATGTATTATAATATTCAAATCATAATTTTACAAAATTTCAACAGCTATTCACAATTTATTAAACTATTTACTCGAAATTGTTATTAACATCTATAAAATAATTTTGTACGCCAATGTATCGCGTCCACTTCGGTGATATCCGCTGCCAACCTGTCAATTTATGTGTATAAAGTGGGAGAACTGGCAAAAGCATTTCCAACTTTTACTTCTGTTCTACACGACTTGATTGGATATTCGCTATTTTGGTTACATACCTGATTGGTTAGCAAAAAATTAACAGGACTACGTCAGTTAGGTTAGTTATTTTATGGTTATTTGTGGTTCATTTTGAGTTTATTTCGTACTTTAATTGAAAAAATTTTGTGGTTTAAGTTATTTTAATGCATTTAATTGCTTAAAAATGGCAGTGAATTGTATTGTGTGCTCGAGAAAGTATCTTAAGTTCAGTTCGATAACGTTTCATAGGTAAGTAAATAAAAACCATTACCGTTGCATCACACTTTTTTGAGGGGTATCATAATTCAAAATAAGGTTTAAACAACAACAATTTATTTTAAAGTTTAAAATAACATTCAACGTCGAATTTCGAATTATTTTATTGTGCCTGTGTTTAATAACTTTGAATATATTAATAGGCTATCTTTAAATTAAAGTTATATTGTTATGCACACTGTACATTTAAGAAGGCTCTAGTGGCATTTACTTTAGTTATAAAATCTTAGTATTGCTTTATTTTAATGACAAAATATATTGTTAGAACACCATAGTTATTTTAAAGTATACTCTGTTGCATTCTGTATTACATGAAATCCTATATACCTACCTATATAAATAAGAAAACACTATTTTATACCTATTTAGGTTTCCAAAAGATCCTCAAACTAGATATATGTGGATGAAGAGTTTGGGTATACGTGAGGATGAGAGTGTATTCAGTAGAATTTGTTCAAGACATTTTGAGGATTCTGCCTTTGCTAAGTCTCCAGGAGGAAAAATGTTTTTAATGAAAGGAGTAATGCCCTTATTTTACTCACAGCCTGAAGCTGTTCCTCAACTGGAAACTATGTTACATTCTAAACCTTCTACATCTGAAACTAAGTGAGTATTTGAACAAAAACTATAAATAATAAAAATGTTTTTTTGTCTTTGTTTAATTAATTTGAATATTCTAAGTATTAGTACAGTAACCAATAAATTTTTTAATTTTTTAATTACCTATTCATGTTATTTTAATAACACAATAATATGTGTAATTATTATATGTTTTCTTATTGTCTAAATTAAAATAGGTTTCATTTATCTCAAGTGAATGTATATTATATTTACTTATTATATAGTTACACGTCACATAATTAATTTAATTTGTAAATTTTGTAGTAGGAAAATGGTTGCCAGTATCGCATCATCCTGGAAATATCTAATTCGTATTCTTGGAGACTTGTTTCGATTCTGCTTACGATCCTTTAAGTCTTTCAAAGTCATCCGTTTTTTCCACAGGTACAGTCTGAAGAACATCTAAAGCATCTCCTTAAAAGGCGATGGTCACATTTACTTACTTTTCTCGTTCAAACGTCCAGGACGAGATTAAAAAATAATTGGGCAGTACAAGAACCGATAATTGGATCAATCTCTTAAGGCTAAGACACGCTAAGATACTTCTGGGTGAATATAACCAGGAAACCATGGCAGGAAATATCGGAAGCCTGTGTGAGATCTGTATACCCATTTATAAATGGTAATGTTAGTACCCGTGACGCCATCTATGTTTCAGCTTCATATAAGTGTTTCTCCTTATATCACAGTCATCTGTAGTCTGTGACCCCGTAGGATTATAGATCGTACGTAGATGCCGCCACGAGTACTAAATAAGAGTCAGATGCGCATTGTCTCGTATTACAAGTTCGTATTTCATCTTGAGTTTTGTCTAGTATTATAACCATTACTGAATTACTGTGTTTATCAGAATACTAGAGAATAAAAGCTTACAACAAGGTGTTGTTTTATTGAGTAGTGTATAAATAAGGCATACATCACAGCCTGCATCTGCCTGAGCAAGAACAGGCTTCGTATTGTAACAGGGATCCTTACCGGGCATTATCGACTTAAAGGACACCTTAGTAAACTGAGAGTAGTAGAGGATAGTGAGTGCAGATTCTGTGAGGAGGACGAAACCTCCATTCACATTCTAACTGAATGTGTAGTACTCCAGAATCCAAGGGCACTATACCTAGTAGGAGGATATCAAATAGAAAAGAGAGAGAGAGATTTACCTAACACGAAGCCACTCCAAATCCTACACTTCCTTGGGAAGATAGGATTGGAAGGGTCGTTATAGGCATTGAGACATTTCCTTGGTGCATTAGCGACAGAAGGGGCACAATAGATCTTTTAGATCGCAGTGTATTAACACCCCATTCCCAACAACATCTCAAGTGAATGTATATTATATTTACTTATTATCACGTCTCATAATTAATTTAATTTGTAAATTGTGTGGTAGGAAAATTGTTGGGTTTTATTTATCTGTAGTTAATGAATATTAGTTTTAGTTATCTAGATACCTGTCACATAATTATTTGATTTATAAATTATGTGAAAGGAAAATTGTTGGCAACTAAATTATTATTATTATAATCACCCCATTATCCATTATTAATTGTTATTAAACCAAATGAGTACAATAACACAACGTCTCTAAAAAATTGCTTAACGTTGTTCTATTTCTAACTGACAAGAATTCATCAAAATTAAGTTTTATTATTCAAAATATTGTGTATTAGAAAACCTTGGCAATATTTTAAAACGGTAATTATGAACTTATCATTTATTACATAAGTATCGCTTTATACTAAAACTGTTATTATAACATTTGTTTTGTTTTCCAGATATAACCCAACTATTTAATAAAATGAATTACATACCTATTATAAAAATTGTTTTTTTAACCCTACTTTCCCAATTATTAAAAACCATAAATATTTTGTGCACAAAATTTAATTAACTTAAAAGGGACTAACAATAAACAGATACTTTATTCTATTTTTTATTACATATATAAGCGGTACTCATAACAAATCAATAAAAATAATTTACAAAAGAATCGATATTATTAAAAAATATTAGTACAAAAATTTAGAATTTATAAAACCTATCATTGCAACGTTTATTCAAATGATTTGTGTATAAAAATAATGTATGTTTTTAATTTAAAAAATATATGTATTGGTCGACTGAAAAATTCATTTTTGACGGTTTTCTATAAAAATCTCATATTAGAAACATTGATCCATTGAAATATCTCAAAACTAATAAAATAATATAAATCAGAAGCATTTCTATTGACATTTATTTGATACGCTACTGAATAATAAAACTAACAAACCCCGCTCTTCCCCTCCTAACAACTGGCTTGTATATGTTGCTTTCAAACAAACGCAATGTAAATTTTTGACATTCAGTTATCTATTATTATTTATTTATCTGAGGCTGATATACGATAAGACATTTAAAATAAAAACGCGACGTTAAATTATAAAACTGTATCTAGTGAGCATATAGCAAACCTAGTTTAACGATTAATTACTATCGAGCCATAGTTACCCATAGATAAGTTTTCAGAAACGCTTTATGATTTATTGGACACATAACTTCATCTGACCGATAGTTATTCTTTCAATAACAAAATATACGGGAAACCGGCCATAAATCGCTATCTGTAGCTATTTTAAGGTTATCATAGGTTAAGTCATAGCTGGATATTTCTTTGATTGATATATTACAAAGTTGATGGACTTCTTAATTTGGGAACTGATCGGTAGAACATGCTTGTTGAACAATAGCGGCTCCGGAAAGGCAATCAACATTTACTTGATAAGAAGCTTTCCTGTATTCAACTTCATAATTGAAACTAGAGAGCTAAGAGGTCTAGCTGAAGTTAAAGCCAGGTAATTTTGAATTATGATGAAATATTCTGGTAAGCGGACTATTGTCAGTGATGTTGGGAATTGAGTATTAGTGACGAAAGTTACTGGTACTCTATTGTTGATGTATTTTATTTTCGTTTTGTGTAACCTTGGTTTAAAAAAAAAGGTTATGACTTTTATAAATGAGTTTTGACATTATAATTTTTGTGATTATATATTTTTATATCAAATAAATAACTACTCCTCAAGTCTTTCCCCTCATTATTAGACGTTCTCTGTCCACCTGGTAGGTGTACAAGCATAACAAGTGACAAGTTTGAATTTTCGACCAAATAAATACATTAAAAAGTGATTTACCGAAAATATTATGGCGAGGGCTTCTTGATTTAACTGACAATGGTTCATTTCGCTTGAAGCTAAAGATCTTGATGCAAATGCAATTGGTTTTTCTAAACCATTAACAATATGAGAAAGAGTTCCGCCAACTCCTGTTGGATCATATGGATGATGAAAGCAGATCAGATTAATTTTCTATTTTGAAAGAATCTACATAGTGTCTATTAGTGTTTATTCAAAGCATTGAGAATAAAACGAGTGTAATACGTTATCAATCCAAGAAATCTTTGAACTACATCCAAATTGGCCTGTACTTTCTTTGGATACTTTGGAATTTGATTGTATTTGATAAAGTAATCGATGCTGGTTTCAAAAATGCACATTTCTTCCGATTTAGATGAAGGTCAAATTGTTTTAATCGTTGAAACAGGCGCAAAGGTTTTCCTTACATTCTTTTTTCGTTGATCCATGAATTACTGTCATCAAAGTACGAGCGAGTTATAGATAAACCGGAAAGAATTTGGTCTATAATCCGATTAAAGTAAGAAGGAGCGGTTTTAATTCCAAATGAGTTAATGAATTCGGTAAGTACTACGATATGCTGAAATTGTTTGAATGTTACTGGTTTTTTCATCTACTGGTTAGTGCAGGTAGGCTTTATATAGATCAAGTGGACAAACATATTTGGAACTCTTCAAAGTGTTGAGAATGT